CTACTGGGAGTCCAAGATTAGCAGTAATCCAGAGTCCATTGAAGCAAGGCTTCTATTGGGACTAGGTTTGTGTTGGCTATAAAATGGAGGTACCATCATGGGTCTGAGGTATACTTTTTATGCTCTGTCTGGTGAGTTAAGCACTATTGGTTATCTTGGAGAGATATTTTACTGACTTGATTGTTAGAGAGCCCCTGGGTGGACGAACCACCGCAAGATTTTTATATTTCTGTGACAGGTTATTCGGGCTTAATCTATTCTGCCGGTGCTCTCTAACTGAGTTAGCCTTTTTGATTATGTGGTCGGAAATCAACACCCACAGTAATATTATTGCTCATATAAACAAAAGCAAAAACATGCTTCATAAAGCACTTCCATGGAGGACATTTTTTATTTTCTACACTCTTGTTGAAAGAGGAGAGTGCCCCAATCCATAAAAAGCCATCATAAAAGACCAGGAAAATAGTGTCCAGGTTCACCCTTCCATATTTACCTGAACAGACCTCATATAATCCAACATGCAATCTATCCAACTTCCAAAAATCCATATCAGAATCGGACATACTTCACTGTTTCATGTGATAAGATATCTTTCATTCTCTTTTCTAACCTGCCTTAATTTTTATTACAAAAATGCCCTTCACTTTCTCTCTCTCCAAACACAAAACCAGAGGAGAGACACACACACACACATTTCAGTGCCCATCTCCAATGGCGTCCATGGCCATCCTTTTCATCAAATCCCCAAACCCGTCTCTCCACTATAAGAATTTACACTTTTGCCGACTAAAAATTTGGTCGGTAAAAGTCTATTTTTAGTCGACAAAAGTTATCCGCGACTAATTTTTTTGGTCGCCACTTTGGTCGCCAATTGAGGGTCGCGGAAAGTAATTAGCGACTAAAAAATTTTTTAGTCGCGAAAAAGTTATTTTTGCTGACTAAATTTTTGGTCGCTAAATATATCTACGACTAATCCATTTAGTAGCTAAAACACTTTAGTCGCAAAAAGTCATATTTTTCCGACCAAACATGTTAGTCGCCAATTCGCACATTCAACGACCAAATTGTTTGGTCGGCAATTGTCGCCCATTTCCACGACCAACTAATTTGGTCACAAATTGTCACATTCCACGACCAAAAAATTTGGTTGGCAATACATTCCACGACCAAAAGATTGGTCGGCAATATTCACTACAAAAAAAATTACACTTTTGTCGACTAAAAGTTTGGTCGGCAAAAGTCTATTTTTAGTTGGCGAAAGTTATTCGCAACCAATTTTTTTGGTCACCACTTTGGTCGCCAATTGAGGGTCGGCAAAAGTAATTGGCGACTAAAACTTTTGTTAGTCGGGAAAAAGTTAGATTTGCCGACTAAATTTTTGGTCGCTAAATATATCATTACCACAACTAATTCATTTAGTCACTAAAACACTTTGGTTGCGAAAAGTGATATTTTCCCGACCAAATATGTTTGTCACCAAAAGCAAAAAATTGGCAACCAACTATTTTCGTTGCCAAAAGTTGAGGAATCGCCAACTAATAATTTAGTCGCCAAAAGGTAAGGAATTGCCAACTAATGATTTTAGTCACAAAAGTGTAAAATTTGACGACCAATTATTTAGTCACCAAAACTTTTCTCAACCAAATATTTTGTTGCCAAAAGACATTAAACAATCAACGACTAATTAGTTAGTCGCCAAATCTCTTTTCTTTTTTCTTTTTTTTTTTTGAACAATCAATTTTTGTTTATAAACATTCAATCCAATATTGAACAAAATTCATTCAACCCAAGAAAAATATAACATTAAAATTCATCATATTTTCCTGCTCAATCCCAAACTTTACAATCATTCCATTCAAAACATTAATTGAGGCAAGTTTTAAACATCCATCCATTGAAAACCAATAAGTAATTGAACAAAAATTGAAAGGAAAATCAATGAAGGAATCCAAAAAAAATTCTAGAACAGGAAGGAATATATATGGTTTTGAAGCATCAGCCTTGTGCTTGATCATTTTTGGAAGTTTTTTTTTTTTTTTTTTTTTTTTTGCACAATCAATTTTTGTTTATAAACATTCAATCCAATATTAAACAAAATTCATTCAACCCAACCTAAATATAACATTAAAATTCATCATATTTTCATGCTCAATCACAAACTTTACAACCATTCCATTCAAAACATTAATTGAGACAAGTTTTAAACATCCATCCATTGAAAACCAGTAAGTAATTGAACAAAAATTGAAAGGAAAATCAATGAAGGAATCCAAAAAAAATTCTACAACAGGAAGGAATATATATGGTTTTGAAGCATCAGCCTTGTGCTTGATCGTTTTTCGAAGTCACCTACAAATAAAATAAGAAAAGTTAGAATCTAGAAAAACATCCAAAATGAAGTATTCTCATAAAAAAAAATTAACCATATGGCAAAAAATTTATATGATTACATTACAAACATTTGATGATGACTATACCACAATTAAGTATTGTCATACCTGAACAATGAGACAAAGCAGCTCAGCAAGTCTCGCCAAGGTAATCCTTCAGTAATACTTTGAGAAAACAAGGATGTTTTGCAAGAAACAATAATGTCTTGTAGATAAACCATTGCAGCATATAATTGAAATATATAATTGAACATGAGTGAAAGATTACATGTTCTATTACTCTGTCTCAAATCTTCAGCTGCTCTGTTACCTAAAGAACCACCAAGCATGTTCTTTTCATTCTCAAATTCATCCTTAAATGTATTCCATGAAGTCATCCACTGAATAACCTCCATTGTAACAAGCTGTTTCAAGAACAACCTATGACAGAACAGAAGGGCAAGCATCCAATAGTATTAACAGAACAAAACGATGCTCTCTGTTTTTTTTTTTTTAAGGTCATTTACTATTGGTTTCAGATTAATTGGATAGACATACCTAAAAAGTTATATCCACTCACTTCCAATTTTTCCTTGGAGCCTCCTATAGCTAGCAAAAGCATGAAGCATAAAAAGTTATATTCACTCACAAACTTAACTTAACAAGATATCATAACATTAAAAACAAAACTTAACTTACATCACATGTGCCTAAAGAATCTTATGGTTATGGTCTCTTTTTATATAAATTATTGCTTTATTACCAATCATAATGCTCCACATAAGCATCTAATCATTATTTATGCACATCAAATGAAAGTGAATTTACATAAAAGAAAAAAAGATTCATTGTAATTTCCATCAGCTAGGAATATGGCTATTCATGACATGAGCGATACTGAACAGGAAAACAGAATTTACATGTGGCTTCCTAATCAGCTCCTTGAGAACAGAATGAAGTGTTAACCGGAGTTCTTTGAAGAGGACAGCAATTAGGGCAGGTGCTACCAATTTGGACAGTACGTGTATTTTTAAAAATAAGCCATCCATTTTTTATTTTGTTTTGTGAAAAATAAGATAAATTGAGCAAATTACGTTTATTGAATCGATTTAATTTTTTTGTGGAATATATAAATGAAGAATCCTACAAAATAAACGTTCAAATTATCAAAATAGAACCCGTAATAAATTTCACGAGCCTAAATAATATCCTCCAATTCAGATCTAAACTAGAGGCAATTCAGATCCTATATATAAAATAAATGCACAGCATGACCCTTCACTATATTGTTCCCTTAATGCTGTGGACACTGAACATTGATTTGTTTGGTGAGATAACCAACATTACACACAACTTAAAACAATATCATCACTTTACTATTATAACCTCCAACAAAGACATAACACCTAATAAAAGTAGGAAAAAAGAAGTGGGAATAAAAAGAAAGCTAAAGCTGAAATGAACAAATTCGAATCATCACAGTTAATTAGGTGATTGCCTTCAAATTCATAAACACATTGAAAACATAATGAGAATATGTTTCTCATTATGTTTTCAATGTGTTTCTTCTCAACAATATATGTTTACTACCACATAATTAACTGTGATGATTCGTTACTCTGTCCTTTTACGTTACTCTGTCCTTTTAGTTCCGTCTCAAACAATATATTGCATATTTACCAACAAAAAACAAGCCCATAATATGTTACTCTGTCCTTTTAGTTCCTTCTCAACAATTAGGATTGCTGACTTTTGTCCTTTTTTATATGTTGTGTGTGCATGCAGTAGGGAAGAGTGAATTAAAAATTAATAATAAATAAGTAAATAAATAAAAAAGAAAAGTTACTATTGAATTAACAATAGAATCCAAAATATTTGACCCTGAGCACATAGAACAAAAAGAAAGTTGGTTGGGCAATCATATTTATGCCATGTATATGTGGATTTGTTCTATCATACAATTTTTTTCTATTAAAAATATTCTATCACATGTACATCTGCAGGTCCTATAAAAATGTCAACCTAAAAAGATTTTGCCATCAAATTAGGTCACAAAAGCACACTTATCCATTGACTTACAGAAATTGATGAAGCAAATTTTAGTGTTAAATGCACCATCTCGCTACTGCATATTAGCAGATTTCCTAGTTTACCATGCACCACAATATCCTTGAAGTATTGACCAATAAAACATTGGTTACTATTGTTTTTACCATCAGTTCAATTTAGATTGTCACATATTTGATATTGAGAGAAATATCTCAACAAGTGTGCGATACCAAAGCAGGCCAGATGACAACAAATCATGCTCCATATCATTTACAAATAAATTTTTGGTAGTGGAGAAGCTTAGATGACAAAATTATACTGCTCATGTCCATGGACCAATCAATTGATGTAATAAAACAAAAACTACTCTCATTCCACGCCATGGTAAAAGATAATGCAAATGATAAAATGAAAGTTGTTAATATTATTGACTTCATCAAACTTGATACTATAGGCAAAATGTGTCAATAAAATAATAGTTTATTCCCCCCATCAAAAATAAGTGCACAAATCCAAGTACTTGGAATTTTTCCCAATAAATTTATGAAATGGAGCCAGTAGTTATAATATTCTAAAGAAACATTAGTGCAAATCAGGAAGCACCCAAAAAATTAAAGCAAGCAAATTTGACAATTAGGGTCACTCATAACTCACTTGAGGCAATTTAATGGCTCTCCATAAAATCTTGGGGGTTTGAATTCCAAGCACCTCTCTTTGTGGAAAGTTTCCAGCTCCTTCATGAATGCTGCTTGCTCTTCCTCTGTTCCGGCCTCATCGCCCCCATTAGCATTTGTTTCCAAGAATGACTTGTTTGAGGTCTTGTATGATAAATCCCTGCAAACAAACAAGCTATACTGCTGGTTACCAGTATCATGAGAGGGAATCCTTCCCATATAAATATTTTTTTTCCTATTGGGATGTTTTTGTAGAGGGCAAAGAAAATGAAAGAGAAATGAGAAATAAAGTAGAAGTTAATTTATTTTTTCTTTTAGGGAATGCCATAAGTTTTCCTCTTGTTGTTGCCAAAACTAGAACATGTAATTTTAAAATGCTTAGATAGTTAGAGTTGCATTGGTGAAGAAGAAAATGCTTACAAATACTTCAATGATTTGAGACCAAACAGAGCAGGAGCTATTTCCCCAGTCAAATCACTAGAGGAAAGGTTCCTGAATGAAAGAAATGTAACTCCATTTAGAGATTAAATGGTTATGGTCAGTGTTGATATATAGGCATAAAGATGGTAGGATACTCACAATGACGTAATTTTTGGTGAATTGTTACCATTGTAGCTGCAATTTACATTATTCCATGAAGAATTCATTGGCTTGCACGGATCTCCTTGCCAATTTTTTTTCACTCGATACGTCAATGAGATATTCACCATAGCATCAACTAATATTTTAGAAGATAAAAAGAGAATGATATGAAACAAGTTAAGCCGAGTAGAGGAGAATGAAACAAGAGCAGATGACAAGCAGTATAGATGAGAAAAACTAACATGGTGTTTGTGCAAATTAATTTCAAACGAGTGTTGATTTGTAAAAATTAAGAACCCGACATGGAGAAGTTATTACAAGCAATAAAATTCTGCAAAACAAAGAAACCTGTAGTCATTATTGCTCAGGGAGTCAATTGGGAAAAATGTATCGATCTGCACCGAAATACAAATCTCGAACAAGAATCGAAATTCAAAACATGGAACACATACAGTAATAAATTACGAATCGAACCCAGATCTGGAAAAGTTTTCTTCCGAATGTTCACATTGAATAAACACATCGGATACAAAAAATTATTCAAATTACGAAGAAATTAAACAAATGAGAGCGATGCGAATAAAAAATTGAATCAATTAAACAAAAAAATTCAACAGAACAATTGAATCAATGAAGTAACCTTCAGATCAGCGAACGAAGCAGAGACATTCGGGATCTGTAAATTGTGGATCTTAGATCTGCTAATAGAAGTTGTGTATATGTGTGTATGTAATTTCGAAACACACACACACAGAGAGCGAGAGAGAGAGAGAGAGAGAGAGAGAGAGAACCTGCTTGCTTGTGAAGGACTAACAGACTGATAGCGCGAGACAGAGAGGGAGAGAGAACCTGTGATCTACGGCGGTGGCGGTGGTGATTTGCGGCTGCGGCGGTGGCGATGTGCGACGTACGGTGAGCGACTGTGGTGAGGGACTGTGCTGAGATGAGGTGGGGTGAGGTTTGGTGGTGATGTGTGAGAGAGAGGACTTTTGTGTTTGTTCAAAACGAGAATGGAAGAGGGCGCGAATATTAAAAGTAATTTCCCCCGCAAAGTTTTAGACCAATTTAGCGACTAAATTGGTTATTTGTCGCCAAATAACGCATATATGACTAAAACTTCCTGTAGCTAGAACTTTTCGTAAGAAAAACTTTTAAAAAATCCCTATATACAAAAAATACTAAAATTCAATATATTTTTCATATTTTGTGTATTTATTAATTTTTAAAAATATTTTTTTACAATATTTTACTTTGTAGATACATTTAAGTAAGATAGATCTAAAAAAGTAAAAAAACAATACTTACAATTTTTAAAATATTCACTTAAAACAAACCCGAAAAACAAAATATTCAGTGGCGATAGTAGAGGAGAGATAATAGTAGTAGTAGTGGTGGTAGTGGTAGTGGAGTTGTAACGATGGTGGTAGGAATGGTAGTCGTAGAGGTGGAGTGGCAACAATGGTAATAATGCTGGTAGTGGAATGGCATTTGCAGTAGTAGTGAATGTGGTAGAGGAGATGGGTGGTGAAAGAGAGATGAGTGAGAGACAGATAGAGAAGAGAGATAAAGAGAGAGAGACAGATAGAGAAGAGAGATAAGGTGATAAGCGAGAGAGAGACAAAGTGGTCGCTAAAACTGCATTTTCTTGTTGTGAAGAGCTCGGTAAATAGAGAAGAGGAGATGGAGAGAGTGAGCAAGGTGAACACAATGGGGGAGAGAGACAAATAGACGAACAGACACATAGAGAGAAAGAGAGAGAAGAGTGAGAGACAGACAGACAGACATAGAGAGAGAAATAGAAAGAGAAGAGTGATGATTGAGAGAGAGACAGAGAGAGAAAGAGATAGAGACAGAGAGAGAAAGAGATAGAGACAGAGACAGAGAGAAACAAATATTTTCGTAACCAATTTTTTTTTGCAGATTAAAGGAAAATTCAAACCCTCTATCTTCTCTCTCTCAGATTAAGGTTTGCTCACTGTTTTGAAACAGTGTTGTGAAATTAAGGCTCTACAAACCTGAAAGGAAATGAAAAAAAATAGAGGAAAAAGGCAGCGGGAAAAAAGGGAGGAAATTAAGTTTGGGAGGCCAGTCCGGTGAGTCAGTGAAAAATGGGGGGAAATTAGTTTTATTGTTATTTTATTGAAATTTTTTTTTATTTGATAGAAGTAGGGGTAATATTTTAATGAAAAATATTTTTCGTTAAAATAAAGTTAATTTTTTATGGTTGATGAAAAATCTTTTTTGTGACCCATTTTTTTTTTTTTTTGGTTACTAAAAATCAAGAGCTAATTTTTTGTGGTAGAGAAGAGGAAGCGGTAGTAGTAGTGAATGTGGTGGATAAAAGGTGAGGTGGTGGTGGTGGTAATGATGACGGCGATGGAGATTAGTGGTGAAATTGTGGTAATGGTGGAGGAGATGGAGTGGCGGTGGTGGAGGAAAGGTAATAGTAGTAGTAGTAGTGGTGGTAGCAGTGGTGGTAGTGGTAGTGGTAGTGAAATAGTACTAGTAGTGGTAGTAATGGTAGTCGTAGAGATGGAGTGGCAACAGTGGTAATAATGGTGGTAGTGGAATGACATTTGCAGTAGTGGTGAAGGTGGTAGAGGAGATGGGTGGTGAGAGAGAGATGGGTGAGAGACAGATAGAGAAGAGAAAGAGAGAGAGAGAGACAGAGTGATGGAGCAGAGAGAGAGAGACAAAATGGTCGCTAAAAGTGCATTTTCTGTAGTGGAGAGCTCGGTAAATAGAAAAGATGGAAGGAGAGAGTGGCAAGATGAACACAATGGGGAGAAGAGACAGACAGACACACAGAGAGAATAAAGAGAGAAGGGTGATGAGTGAGAGAGAGACAGACAGACACACAAAGAGAAAGAAGAGAGAGAGAGTAATGAGTGAGAGAGAGAAAGAGATATATATATAAATATTATAGAGGGAGAGAAAAAGAGATAGAGAGACAGACAGACAGACAGACAGAGAGATGAGTGAGTGAGTGAGAGAGAGAGAGACAAAGTGGTCGCTAAAAGTGCATTTTCTTGTAGTGAAGAGCTCGGTAAATAGAGAAGAGGGGAACGAGAGAGTGAGCAAAGTGAATACAATAGGGGAGAGAGAGAGACAGACAGAGACACAGAGAGAAAGAGAGAGAGAAGAGTGAGAGACAGACATAGAGAGAGAAAGTGAGAAAAAAGAGTGATGAGTGAGAGAGAGACAGAGAGAGAAAGAGATAGAGACAGAGACAGAAAGAAATAAGAGATGAGTTAGAGATAGACAAAGAGAGAGAGAAAGAGAGCGAAAGGAGATGATAGAGAGAAAGACATAGAAAAAGAGAGATAGAAAGAGAAGAAAGATGTGCATGAGAGACAGAGAGAGAGAGAGAAGAGAGACGAGTGAGAGAGATAGAGAAAGAAAAAAGATGAGAGAGATAAAGAGAAGAGAGATGAGCGAGAGACAAAGAGAAAAAGAGACAGAGACAAAGACAGACAGATAGAGAAGAATGATGAGTGAGAGAGAGAAAAAGAAGAGAGAGAGAAAAAGAGAGAGACAAAGAGAAAAAGAGATAGAGAGTGAGAGACAAAAAAAGAGATAGAGAGAGATAGACAAAGAGAGAAAGAGACAGAAAAAGAGGCAGAGAGAGATGAGAGAAATAGAGAGATGAACGAGAGAGACAGAGAGAGAGATAGAGAGAAGAGATATGAGCGAGAGAGACAGAGAGAGAGATAGAGAGAAAAAAGATGAACGAGAGAGACAAAGAGAGAAGAGAGATGAGACAGAGATGCGAGAGAGCTCAAGAATAAAGATGAACAAGATGGATAGAGAGAATAGAAATGAACGAAAGAGACAGAGATAGAGAGAGAGAGAAAGAGAGAGACAGAGACAAAGACAGAGGCAGAGACAGAGTAGGAAAGAGAAAGAGACAGAGAGAAACAAGAGATGAATAAGAGACAAACAAAGAGAGAGAAAGATAGCGCAAAGAGATGATCGAGAGAAATACATAGAAAAAGAAAGAGGTAAAGAGAGAAGAAAGATGAGTAGGAAAGACAGAGAGTGAGATAGAGAGAAGATAGATGAATGAGAGAGATAGAGAAAGAAAAAAGATGAGAGAGATAGAGCGAAGAGAGATGAGCGAAAGACAAAGAGAAAAAGAGACAAAGACAGACAGATAGAGAAGAGTGATGAGTGAGAGAGAGAAAAAGAAGAGAGACAAAGAGAGAAAGAGATAGAGAGTGAGAGTCAGAAAAAGAGACAGAGAGAGAAGAGAGATGAACGAGATAGACAAAGAGAGAGATAGAGATAAGAGAGATGAGCGAGAGAGACATAGAGAGAAGAGAGATGAACGAGAGAGACAGAGAGAGAGAGAGAGAGATGAGCAAGAGAGATAGAGACAACAGAGAGGAACGAAAAAGACAGAGAGAGATAGAGAAATGAGAGAATAGATAAATGAGTGAGAGACACAGAGAGAGAGACAGACAGATAGACAGATAGACAAACAGACAGAGAGACAAAAGTGATAAGTAAGAGAGAGAAAGAGAATAGAGAGAGGAAGATAAAAAAAAATAGGTGAAAAGAGACAGACAAAGAGAGAGAGAGAGAGAAAAGGAGCGAAAAAGATAAACGAGAGAGATACAGGGAGAGATGAGCGAGAGAGATAAAGAGAAGAGAGACAAAGAGAAACGAGAGATGAGAGAGATAGATAAAAGAGAGATGAGCGAGAGACACAGAGAGAGAGATAGAGAAGAGTGATGAGTGAGAGGGAGAAAGAGAAGAGAGAGAGACAGACAGACAGAGAAGAGTGATGAATGAGAGAGAGAAAGAGAAGAGAGACAGAGATAGAGACACAGAGAGAAAAAGAGAGACAGATAGATAGAAAGAGAGAGAAAGAGTGATGAGTGAAAGTAAATTTTTATTTTTCTTTCAGCGACGAAAATATTTTAGTTGCCAAAACTATATATACCGCAACCAAAATAATTTTTAGTCGCTGAAATTAAAGTTTTGCCGACCAAACTTTTGGTCGCGAAAGATAAAAAATAATTTTTTATTTTTCTTTTAGCGACGAAAATATTTTAGTTGCCAAAACTATATATACCGCGACCAAACTAATTTTTAGTCGCTGAAATTAAGGTTTTGCCGACCAAACTTTTGGTTGCCAAATATAAAAAATAATTTTTTACTTTTCTTTCAGCGAATAAAATATTTTAGTTGCCAAAACTATATATACCGCGACCAAACTAATTTTTAGTCGCTGAAATTAAGGTTTTGCCGACCAAACTTTTGGTCGCAAAAGATAAAAAATAATTTTTTATTTTTCTTTCAGCGACGAAAATATTTTAGTTGCCAAAACTATATATACCGCGACCAAAATAATTT